CTACTACTGCTACTACTACTACTACTACTACTACTACTACTACCGCTTCTACTACTACTACTACTACTACTACTACTACTACTGCTGCTACTACTACTACTACTACTACTACTACTACTCCTAGTACTCTACCATCACCCCCCAGACCACTACTAAGGGCCAGGTGGGGGGGCCACTGAGCCAACCGCACAGGGGCGGGAGTGGGGGGGTCCATTAACTAACATGAGGTCAACATTAGCAGAAAGGCCACGCTTGTGACACGTGCACATTCAGTATTGTCACGACGGAAGACAAACACCGACCGACACTCCGCTCACGCAGAGAGTCAGCAAGAAACAGCGAGCAAGCGTAATGAGTCGCGTATGACACATCCTGGCAGAATGAAGTCTGTACCACGAAATAATAGACCAAACACAATCCGATGGCCCTTGCCCTATTACCGTGCATTGCTTCTTTCTTAATCTTTCGCGTTCCCTGATCCGTGCATTCCTTGTGGTTGTGTGTTGCAAACCGCACACAAGCGCGCCTCTGATGCACACTCTCACAAACAAGATATTCTTGCAACCATTGCGCCTGTGTCTCGACCATCGAAAGAGCCCATGCTGCCTGAGAATGGGTGAGCCATGACTAGGTGCCGGCTGTCAACAAAGCTCTGATTAGCACTTGCATAGGCCCTGCAATCACTTTGGACTGCGTTTGAGGAGTTACTGAAGTCTGCGATGTAGTCTTTCAGTACAAAGACCAGTAGAGCCCCACAGTCAGTAGGCTGTACCGAATCTCGGGCCAATTGGGGTTTCAGGTTTAGGGTTGGGTAGGGGGATTTGGGGTTCAACACTTTATGACTGATCCCAAATTTCAGACCCAAGTCACCCCACAGCCCTTGCATACCGGTCAATGCACAGTTCTCAACTTGTTCTTTGTCGCGCGTTTGATTTTTCCCGGTTGCTGTTTCCACTGCTGGTGCTGGGGTGTGGGTGTGCCCGCGGCACGGCTGGCGAGGAGGCGAGTAGCAGGAGCAGGAAGAGGCATCAGCAGTGCAGCGCTGTGGTCTGCGCAGCTGTCACAGCAACGCCTTTGTGTGACATGATGTGCAGTGCTGGGATGATCACTCCTGCAGTGCCCTACAGTGATGTGGCGATCTCAATACATTTGTTGCTGTTGTGCATTCTCGTAGACATAATCACACTTGGGATGAACTCTGTAGGGCTGCGATCACGATGCGCAGATTCCGACATGGAGCCAGTTCAACGGATCCGTCCAAACAGTTTTTTTAACAATGGCAAGCTCGCAAATCAAACATCCAAACAAATCGCAAGTATGACTCTCATTCTTACTTTCCTCTGAAGTAGAAGCATAAGCACTTTGCAGACACTGCAGAGCGTCGTCTTAGAATGTGTTCGATACTGCTGCTGTTGCTGCGCAGACTATTCAAGTAGAACGTCTTGTAAACACCCTGTATCTGGTGACAGCTTTCTTTCCGTATGCAAGTACACACGGCAACGTCCACACTGTCTGAGGACGGGAAGAACGACCCAGCAAGAAAAGCGCTTTCAACTTCTCAGGCTGCAGCCACCTTCTGCTGGGGGACCTGGCGAGAATAGGTTTAGTCACGTACACGCGCCGAGCAGAGGGTAACACAAGCGGTCGTTGCCGGGCCAGCCAGGAGCCTGCGGAGGCCTCCAACTTCTGACAATTACAGTCTGCCATCACTTCCGATGGCATGGGCCGAGCCAGCGACACACCTCCCCACTGGTTCCAGGCCATCGGGTGGCCTGGCCATACGTATGCAGAATGTCCGAGAAGAACAGCCCTCCCAGCGGGGGAGGCAAAGGCGAATCGGGACTGCTAACGTTCAGACTGCAGACTTGCGAACGAGGAGGAGCACAGGAGGAGGAGGACCACGAAGGATGGCAGCTCCTGACCCCTGTGGGATGGGTCTTCGCTGGCACCCTCAAACAAGTTCAACCCGTTCGTGACTTCTTAAGAACTTGTGCTTCCGCGGATCAGGGTTTCCTTCTTGGAAATCTCTTCAGGCAGCGTGCTCGCCGATTGAGTAGTATTAAGCCCTCGGACCCCAATGCCCCAAACATAGGTATGTGGATGCAGCGAGACAGGTCAACCAGTCCGTACTGTCAGGACCTGCCCGACCGGTCCTGGATTATTCGTTGGAAAGCAAGGACGGTGCAGACTCTATGCAGAGCTCTCGCCTTGTGCAGGTGGGGACCCGCTGGGCGCTGCGCCGCCCTGCCAGGAGCGCCACATCTCGGCCCACTGCGCAGCCGCCTGAGAGCGGCTGAGAGCGGCTCTTTGCTGCGCTTCCGCTGCTTGGGCTCCGACGTCGTTTTGCGAGGATGAAGAGGACCTGGCTCAGAGGAGACATTGGTGCAGACCCCTCAGACCTGTATCTGCCGTGCGGCGACGACGAAGAGCTTTGCCCTCCTGAGACCCACATACCATTCCGGAATCAAAGAATTCCAGTTGGATGGCCACCAAGCTCTTCGCGCTTCTTCTTCTTTTTCTTCTTTTTCTTCTTGTCGTCCTGCCAAACTGCGATAGTTTGAGGGACAAAAGAGGACGGAGTGATTGAAAGAGCTGCAGGGATAGAGGCCAGAGAGCTGGACAGAGATACGGGCATCCTCTACAGCGGCTTGTTGCGCGTGCTGCGCCTGGGAATGGTGGACGAAACCCTCACAGGCTTTCCTCTTCTCGTCTGAGGCTCTGGCATAGTCCCAGTAGCTAGCTGCGGCAGCAGCATACGCGCCCTTAGCTCGCTCTGTGCTGAAAGTTAGTGTCGGAGCCAGGGCTGAATGAACTCTCGGCACAAGAAACGATTTGGCTGACACACTCTGAGTGCACCAGCATAGCCAGCATACGGGCCCCAAGCTGCTGCAGCACCTCTTGCCGGCACACCAAGATGTCATCAAGTCCATGCAGTATTGTAGAAAACGACTGACAGCTCGACCTCGCTCAGCCAAACACGACTGCCGAGAACGATGCACCCGAAGCCCGCCGCAAGTCTTTGACAGTCTCTTGCTGGGCTTGTCGCCAAAGTCGTCAGCTCGGTCTTCGTCTCGACCGTCCTTCTCTCGTTTTCGTCGACCTTCGTTCTTCGGGCACTGACCGACTGACCGGTCGCGTTTCGGATCTTCGAAACACTGCTAAGGCTCTTGCGGCTGCCGCCTGGCTGCAACTAAAAGTACTGATGTGCGGAATCCACACGCCATGTCGCCATGCCTTCGCCATGTCGACTCCGAGACCTACCTCGATGGTCGTCACCTCGACCTTCAGCTGCTGGAACAGAATTGCTTAGCAAGTTTCCGGCGCCATCAAAGCAGGCGAACGTCTATCCCAACGGCAAGCAAGAGGAACTCCAGCCGAAACGAATTATGCCTTTGTCAGCAATCACTGGCCTCCTGAGCGCACACGTCTTCCTCGAGATCTGCTCCGCGCAGAATACATGGCAGCTTGACAGCGGGTCAGTAGGCTTGTGAACTTCGGCTGGACGTACACATGGTACAGCACATGTTGCACTGACCAATGCCGGGTCATTCCACCCACCTTGCCGGAATGTGATTACCAGCAAACGAGCTTGCCGCCCGCAGAAGGAACTTATCTCTGTCTGTGTATTGGGCTAGTCGTTCTGTCGCTAAGTCCGTTCTTGGCCTCTCGCGATGTTAACGTGACCTGGAGATGAGAACACTTACAATGTGACCGTTACCCATGCTTGTCCGAGATTCATGGCTGCAGGCCCAGGGCACCAGATCGCAGTCCGTTCGCAGAACTTTCATGCATCAGATAGCTAACGCAGCTAACACTCGCTCTGAAGCATGCACACAGCGAGAGGCAGTGCGGCATGCAGGGGTTACATACATCAAATAATCCAACAAAGACACGGTGCTGCGCGAGGTTTTTTGCCTATGTTTTGCAAGTTTCCGAATATTCAGTACATACAAACGTCTATATAAATATATACATGTATTTGTTTACAGAACATGATACACATGTCTATATAAATGTATACGCTTCTACATAAACATTCATGCAAACATACATACATACATACATACATACATACATACATTTTCATTCAGCAGGCTGAGGGACCGGTCGGTCGCGCCTAATGCAGCTGTACAGAAAGATGAATTCAAGCAAAACCCGAGCTGCGCGCAGCTAGTCTTCAGGACTACTAAAGCCTGCTTCCGAGTGCCGGAACCCTACCGAGATTAGCCAGGTAGGTACGGGCTCAAGGGAAGCTAAAACTGCACATGGCACACGCAGAAAAGCTCGGGAGTGTGAGGACTGCTGCAGAAAACGTCCTACTGTATCGCAGGCCTCTACCAAAAAGGCAGTCTGGCGCTGCGCTGCGGCGAGGGGTGCACCCCCAATAAAGGGGTAACAGAAGGACGGACAAGGAGCAGCCTCAATGGCAAAAGTGGCCCAATCCCCGGTAAGGACGAAGGGAAGCTGGAAGTCCAAGGCTCCCGGGAGTTCTGGGCAACAAGTAGCCACGGGGGTGGTCGCACGACGGCGGCAGAATGTGTCGCAGATGAGTTCAGGATCCAACATCAGCACAACTTCGTCTGCGACATCGGAGATCCCGGGGCTCGGCATGGACCTATCCGCCCACAGCTGTACCGTCTGCTTAAGGACGGCTAAAGGCTCGATATACTCGGCAGCAAGGTCCCAGACCTGACAGGCCGTGGGTTCCTGCAAGAGTTCCAGCGCCTCAAGAAGACCCTTATTATAGGTTGCCGGATCTAGCTCGGCGTGGTGCTCACTTAACACTCCTTCCACAGTGAGTGGCGGGGCTCGAGGATGCGGAAGTGGCCGCGGAGTGTCAGTGGGCACAAACGACCCCCACCCCCGACGGCAGTTCTCAGAGTGCAGGAGATGGCGACGGAGCCGAGCGGGCTTTGCAAAATTCTTTCCGCACGCCAAACAGAGCGTACTGCCGTCAGTTCCTGCCAAAACCGACGCTGCTATACGGTAGCCGTGCAGCTTGGATGCATGGCAAGCCCAGGCGGCTCGACTCGTGAAGGCTCGTTTGCACACAATGCAAGCCTCAGTGAAACGAAGGGTATCGCAAGGGCCCTGCAAGGACACTCCCTGGCCCTGCTGGCTGAGTGCTGTGTGCAAGGCCTGAAGGGCGGCGATGCAGGTGATTCTGCACTGCTCCAAGCCCTTGGCTCGTTTGATCAAACCTTTAAAGAGTGACGGACGGGTAGCCATGAGGTCACTCCATGGCTGCCAGGAATCGAGCGGGTCAGGGAGCGTGCTAGTTGCCCGCACTCGGCAGAACAACCAGTATAACGCTCGCCGGACCAATTCAAGGTAAGGCTCATCTTGGCGTATCAGTGCCCAAATGGCGTCTGGCGCAGTGGTACGAAGCTGAAGGAGATACCGTAAACGTTCTACTTGAAGCAAGGAGTCATGATCCAACAGCCCCAGCAGGGAGCAAACGGTCGCAAGGGACACATGCTGGTCCTCCTTCGCCCCAATTCCAAGGGCCGAACGATACAGGGCAAAAACTGTGCCTGCGAACATCCTCTGCTCCCCAATGGCAAGGGGGGGCCAAGCACCAGTCCCAAAGAGAAGCTTGCTGAGGACAAGAGTCTGCAGCAGACTGCCACGGCGGCCAACGGAAAGCCGTCTGCACCGGAAGATACGTGTTCGACCCTGACGGAAGGCAACCCATGCAGCTGAACATCGCTGTTTAACCTCGGGGCGAATTGCACCTTCACACGCCTGAAGGACCCCTAGGTGCTTGTAGACATCGACCAGGGGCAGTGCCACCGCGCCGTTTTCCCGTATAACCGGCAGCACTGGCTTACGACCAAACAGTGCGCGTCTTGCAGCACGTGCCCCTGGTCCTCTTGGGCTGACCAGTGCAGCAGTTTTCTTTTCCCCAAAGGAAAGGCTTAAGGAATGACCCTCAAAAGCATCAGCCAGGGCCCCGGCTTCCACGCCAACAGAAAGGGCAGTCAGAGCGGCGTGCTGTATCGGCAAGCAGCTGGCGATGTCATCAGCCCATATAACATCCTTGAGGGTAACAAACTGGGAAACGTCACCTTTTGGCCTCCAGTCCTTATGCCCATCTCATGGCAGTTCAACATAGGGGCACGCACCTGCAGCACCTACCTTGCACGAGTCGCGAAGTTCTAGGATCCTGCGCAGGAGGACTCCAAAGGTCAAATCTGCCCACGCGGATCCTGGCCTAGTGCCGCGCCTGGTAACGACGGGTGTGGAGTCGCCCTGGAGGCACATCCAGGTTCCACTGTTTATGACCGAAGTCAAGGCTCTCAGCCAGGGATCTGCGCCGTCTTGAGCAAGAGCAGATTTGGCTGCATTCTGGATCTCTGGTAGAAGGTTATCAGTATTGTGGCCCTCTACATCGGCAGTTGCAGCGGCCTCAGGTTCCTCCGCGGGCATCCTGGAAGCCAGACTCCGCACAGTGGAGTAATAGGCAGAAGAGACATCCGCAAAGAGCACTGCGGAAGCCTGACCGGCATGTGCGCGGATGCGCATGAATGTCCGCATGGCATGCGAACCGAAGATGACACTGCCTCCCTTACGCCCTCCAAGCTGGAGCGGGTCGGCATGCGTTTCAAAGAAGGCCTGTATGCGGGGGCGGTATGCTCGGTGGACCGCCTTGCAAAGGTTTGACAGGAGCAAGATACCCCGATATGAGGCGCAATCTGCCTGCGGGCCTTTGCCTTTCCATAGCCATGTCAATGACCCGCACTTATGGCCTATGCTCTCTTCGCCGAGAAGGCCGAGTTTGAGTAACAAAGGGTATAGCATCTGCTGGACCTCATCAGCGCACGCCAAGCCCAGTTCTCCAGGCAGTCTATCTGGTCCATTGGCTTTCCCCCTTTTTGCCGCTAGGAGAGAATTGCGAAGGTCAGAAGGGGCAGGAATAGATGAGATGTCCGGCGGGGCCGGCCACTCCGTCGGACTTCCGCCAGTGGCAGAAATGATATCGGCACGGTGAACCACAATACCATCCTCAATCGCACTGAAATGTTCCCTCCAACGATTCCGGGCCGCGTCTGGGGTATCACATAGAGATCCGTCTGCATGCGTAATCGCAGGGAGCACGGCTGGGGCGAAAGGTTTCTTACGCCTACGGCTAAGCAGCCGGTCAGCTGCCGCAAAAGCCGTAGGCTTATTCAACTGTATCTCATCCGCCAGCTGTTCCATATAGCGCGCCCTGTCCTTCTTACACCTGGCACGGAGCGCACCTGCATACGCGCCTAGCCTAAAGCCATAGAGCGCAAGGGAGATTTGGGCGTCTCGTAGCCATTTAGAGGAGAGCTTAACCACTGCGGTACCGGACTTCCAGGCATAGAAAACGCCAGCAAGAACCTGCTTATGCATCATCTGGCGGACTCCGGCGCATTTACGGCGCAGCCAAGCAACCTGCTTTTGCAGGTCCCAGGCCTCGGCCGTGATGTACGGGTGCACGGGCTTGTGGGCGGTTGCAGGGAACGCGTCCGCAAGTGATCTCTGAAGGTATTCGGTTACAATCGCAGCGTGCGCACTGGCGGAGACCTGCCATTGTGGCCTCGGCGCAGCCCTAATAATATCTACAATGGCAGGGTTATTGCTGGGGTCCAAAATAGCCTGCGTGTCTATTTTCGGGATGGGCTTGGTGGCTTGACTAGCTCCACAGCGAACTTGGACAGTAGCATCGACAACAGTGGCGATGTGATCAAGAGTCATGTTGACTGCGGTGATATCGGGCGCAGTCCAAGCTCTGAAATGCCCATGCTTCCATTCAACAGGAACGAAAACATAGTCAGGTCGGATGAGCGCACCGTTGCGGCGTTGTGCGAATGTCCATGTCGGCCCATCTTGCACACCCTGCCAAGTGGCCGGGGCCCATAGCTGGCATTTCTTAAGGAGGGTGTGGCATAATTCTCCCGCAAGATCCTGTTCCTCAGCGCCGACACCTGCTATGCTAGAGGACTCAACCGAACCCAAGCTAGCATTGCAATCCGCTCCAACAACAAGCAGGCGCCCTCTGGCGCATCGAAACAAAATCTCCTCCGTATGCTGCCACCACTCGGTGAGCTCGGACTCCGTTGAGCCTCTATGGGGGGCATGGAGTGATGCGAAGATGATTTGCAAGCCGCGCTGCTTAAATAGTAGCACCAGCCGCCTAGGATCCTTTTCCAAAACAACAAAGGATCGAGGCTCAAAGCAGATCGCATCGAAACCGCTATCTTGGAATGAGACAACCGGGTGCTTGGCGCGGAACCACAATTCTACGCCCAGATGTCCTTTGGCCGCTCCGGAGGAGTAGCGGAGGTATGGCCCTGTGCAGAGGAAGCCGGCTTCCGTACGCGCTTCTTGTATCGCTGCAAAATGGACATCGGCCTGTTTAAGTTGATGGGCTAACAGGGCAGGCCTTGCGGGTCGGAAGGCGAGGCCCTCACCCCGAATACCTTTCCTGTCGGTAGCAAGGGACAGGGCATTATATGAGGCGGCTCTTAGCCGTATACGACCATATTGCTGCGTGAGGCCTGCATCTTTGGGCGGCATGAAGGGAGCCACCATATCCTCTGGGCCAAGGCAGTGATCGTGACGGTGCTGAGCAAGGGGGTGCCCTAAGGGAGATGGTAACGCATCATCTCCTCTGGCCCATCTACAGACTAGTCCAGCCCATGCCCAGAGGGCACCTTGACTAGCCCACCAGGCTGGGCCTTCGCCAGATTCCCATTCCAAGCAGCCCAGAGGGTTTCCTTCCGCAGCGGCTTTAGCTGCCACGTCAGCAATTTCGTTGCCAAGAAAATTCTTGTGGCCTGGAATATAGTGAAGCTCAGGTCCTTGGCCTATAGCGTCTCTGCAGCAGCCCGCAACATTTGCAAGAACTCTTGCTGCGCCGGCGGTATGCGCGGCGGCACGCCCATTAGCTATAGCTAGTGCGGCCTGGCAGTCGGATGCAATCTTGAAAGGGGCGTTTTGCCAGACAGCAGCCCCCAGCCAAATGCCGACTATTAAGGCGCAACATTCAGCTTTGAAAGCAGAAGGAGGCTCCCCGGCAAAGCACCAGGACGGCAAGGAACCCGCAAGTACATCACAGGTGCGCCTACTCCTATCTACGAAAATACAAGCCCAGCCAGAGGTTGCCGGCTCCTTTACCCCTGCTGGAGTGTAAGAGCCGTCCGTGTAGCACACGGCCCCCCAGGGTAGTGCGTCAGCGTCCTGACTAGCGAGGCTGCGTAGGCGGTTGCCTGAAGCAGGGCCTAGTGCGGCGAGGCATTCCTGGATGGAATAAGTGCGGAATTTGGGACGAAAAAGGGTGTGCAGCTGCCGGGGGGTGAAGCCAAGTTGCAGCCCATCATAGGCAAGCCCTTGGTCATATTCCGCGCCTAGAAATGCCTCAGCACCTCCGTCACATCGAGGTAGGGAGAACCCTTTGGGCCAGGACAGAATGCCTCTTCTGTCGTCTGGAATATGCTCGGCAAGTTGCAAAGTGGTGCGAGAGCTGCCTACCCCCGTAGCACTAAGAGACTTTCTTTTGGGCTGCCCCTTACCTGGGTACCTTGGGTGAGCCCGTGGCACGACGGTATCAGTATGGATGTGAGGAGGGCGGCTGCACATACTGCGGCAGGGCGTAGGGAGTGGTCTGGTACCCGTTCCCCGATTGTCTTGGAGGGCAAATCCCGAACTGTATGCCCCTCCGCAGGCTGATTTATAAACAGCAGTGGCTCTGTCTGGGCAGGTAAAGAGCATGCCGACAAAAAGGGCCTGCCGAAGAAGCCCGTGAACCGGCTGCCAATTTGGACGTTGATTGGTAGCGGGTCGGCCAGAATGGCCAGGACCTATCTCCCTATCCCCAAACCGACTATTTCTATGGCGTGAGTCGCCGGCCGGCCTAAAGTTCGGGAAGCTGTCATCATCATCTTCGTCAAATGGTCCACGAGGATCGGGATTATCCCTTGGGCCTGGCGGCTGCGGCCCAGGGTATCCGCTAACGCCAGCTGTGTGCCGGGTTGCACTGCTAGGCTGAAATGTGACGACGAAAACCGCACCGTCTGCTGGTCCCAAGACCAGTGACATATCCCAAATTTGGCGGCCATCCCAGGAGACGCATGGGACGTATCCCGTGGGACATGAGTCCGCAACTCTAGCATAGATACGTCGCAAGTCAAAGGCACCTTCCGCACACAGATGCCAGGAGAGACCTTTCCAAATAGCCCTCAGGTCAACTATGACGATGCTGGGGCGTTGCTCGCCACTGTCAGCGCGGTCCCCTTTATAGAAAACCGCAATAACATTCATACAAAGCTGTCCTTTATCCGAGTGGTCCTTAATAGGAGGCACCGCAGGGCGGAAGACGAGGTCTTGGAGGCCTCTCTGCAGCATGTGCGCGACATCCTGCCTCACGAGCCGCCTTCTGCCTGGGGGAATGGCAAATCTAAAATTACCCTGATCAGTAAGGAACCACGCTGCTTCACTATACTCCCCGGGGGGGATGAACTCCTCCTGCCACATGTGTGATTGCGCCAACATGTGCTCTAGGGAGACTGGGACCCACGGGGGGCTGGGAGTGGGTAAGATAGTGACTAAGGTCCCGTTGGCCAGGTCTGCAAGGTCCCCGGGCTCTAATGGGACTTGGGCCTCTCCAACGTAGACACAAACATTACTATCCTCACGTAGACCGGCTGCCAAAACAAGCCCCAGCCGTGAAATTTTTGAAGGGACCCGCATGGCAAAGTACTGGCCCCCTACCGCAGCGCAGTCAAGGGCCACAACGGCACCATCGAAGGGCCAGTCGGGCACCGCAATGACCAGGGCGAAAGGCTGTCCTGCTTGTGGGCAGACCTCAATCAGTGAGGGCCTCAGCTGCGTATCGCCACTGGTGCGCGCCGCAGCGACACGAACGAGGGCTTCTTCAACCGAAAGCCCGACTGGCAGATGCAACTGTATAAGTTCAGTGGTGTAATCCTGGCCCAAGACCAGGAAGTTGGCACGACCTATAAGGGCATCAACATCGCCAGGGCCTTCTTCATTGCCGCCACTATGTGGCACAACATCCTCTCTACTGGCGGGGAGCTCATTGCTGGAGGACGCAGACGCTGCCATATGTCTAAGACGGTCTGCGAAGGTATCCTGTGAAAATTCAGGTGGATGTCGGCCTTCCTCCCTACCATGCTGAGGGCCTGCACGTTGGACTATGGAAACGCCTACCGGCTCAGGCTCGGGGACCCTAACGAGCTCGATGATCAGTACGTGTCCTGGGCCGATTGGAAGTCTATCCTCCCTCTCTGGCGCGCCCACAATTGCGAGGGCCCATCCTATCGGGGCTTCATACTCAACCCTATCAAGGATATCATCCCGGCTAACGGTTACGCTCGAAGTGCTGATAGCGAACCATCCCAGGCCCAAAGGACGCGCATCCAAGATGGCCCCATAAATCTGGCCACCATCTGCCCGGTCAGCCTCGCAAGCTGCTATTACAGTGCGGCAAGGAAGGCCATCAATAGCAGCATCAGAGACCCTTGGTGCGCTAGGGAATAAGCGAAGAACATGCGTCGGGACGCCTATACACCTGGCAATTTGATCACGGTACATAGTCGGGCTGCGTAGTGACATGGTGAACAGAATCGATTCGTCCCCATGTATGATGCCAAACGTGCCTTCTGCCGCTACGTGTGGGATGGTGCTATGCGCACTCCATGCTGACCTGTACTGCAGGCACTGGTCAAGGGAGGAAGGCTCATTGATAGCCGTACCCGAGTGGGTAAAGCTAACCGTGGAGGCAACGGAGAGGTGTACATCAACACCAGCAGGGATAGGTACAACATCTCCCCCTACAAAGACATCGACAGGGAGGTTGTGAGGGAGATTCGCGAGATGCAGGAGTCCCGACTTGTTTGCATAGGCTGGCCCGACTACTGCAAAGATCCTGCCGTCAATCTGTGATGTATCCAAGCACAGGGTGCGCCGGTCTGGTTTCCAAGCCGGATTAGCAACCAGCATCCCTGAACCTGGGCAAGGCTGCGGGTAAGCTGCTACTAGAACTGGGAATCTAGCTCGATTCGTAGCCTCCCTCGTAGCTTGCACCGCTGTAACTGCCTCTACACCTGTGGCCGGGAGATGGATGTCCACAAAGACCTCCTCAAGCACATATCCCGGCACGGCGATGGCAATATGCAGGCGCTGCAAGGCATCGGCATTGGACGACACTGATGCGGCTGAGTCTCCATCCTCGTCCAATTCCAAGGCGTCAGGCAAAGTTGCATAAGGCCAAGGCTCTTGCATTCTGCGGGCAACAAAACGCACGATGGCAAGGGAGTGCCTGGCTTCGAGGGTCGTCGACCCTGGCTCTAGCAAAAGCCTGAAAGCCGCAGGGAAGCGATCAGGAAAGGACAGGATCAGCCTAGTCAGGAGTTGCCTGGGATCACAACACACCCTGGGCAAGGTCACGGCGGCACCCTGAACACCCCAACCTATATGCAGACCGCGGGGGCACGCATGCCGACCTGCCTCTTGGTAGTCCCCGAGTACAAGGGCGCTTTCAGACCCCCTTCCTCCAGGGCCGCGCGGGGTGCGGCTACGAGCAGAGAGCGAATTGTTGCTCCCACCATCTGATCCAGATGCATCAAGTTCAGAGCTGTCATCACCAGGCTGGTCAGAACTGCAAAGGGTAGGAACGCCGCCCTGTCCACCAGACCCCGAGGACCCGCTATTATCAGAGCCTAAGTTACCTCCACCTGCGAACTCAACCTTGATGACCTGCCCGTGGATTACGCGGGCTTCATGCCCCCGGTCACCCACGTAGGCATCGGCCCCTCTGAAGATGACGAGGTGTGTGTCCGGGCATAGCCCCATAAATTTATCAGCCATGTCCTGCATGTCGAAGGTCGGCCCAGGCAGTAGGTACCAGCGGAATCCGCGGAGGATCGCCCTACAATCAACAACAAGTATGATACGACACTCACGCGATCGCGCCGGCGGCCACGGGATAGTTTGCAGGGCCTCTGTGGCAACCAAAACTGATGCGATAGGCTGGCCTAGGTGCACGAAATCAAAGATACGCGGAATCGTATGCCGCAACGTGACCTGATTTATAGTATACCTGAGGCGGCTGGTGATCACATCCCTAACAGCAGCCTGTCGCCGCGCCGGCACATTTAAGCAAAGAGGCATGCCATCCGTAAGGACGTAAAACCTGTTGCCTTCACCTACCTGTCTATCGGGTATGGCGAAGTCGGGGACCCAATCTGCAGGGTCCTGTAGCATATCCGGCAACATCCAGCCGCTTGGGGGGCCCTGCCCCAGCCGCGTGAAGGCAACATTGGCACCATTATACAGCTCAATCCACAGGTGTTCATCGAGTGGCTGGAGCAGACCGTGCACGAAAACCTGTAAGTTTGGCATGGCATCCAGACCAGCGGTCTG